CAATGCAAACCTTGGTACATGCTGGGTTCAGTAAACCTCTAACAGAAAAGACCAATATGGAATTAATCCAGGTTATCGCTCGCATGTGCGAGTTTCATCTTCTTATATTTGAGCATGGAGTGGAAAGTTGTTACCTCCTAAATACGGTAGTGATATGAGAATAGTCTAGTAAGATGATACATGGATTTTATTCTGAACGAATAGAACGTCGTATTGTATAGACTTCGGTAAATTACTCTTGTTGTCCGTCAGCGTACAAACTAATTATTGAGGTCCGTGCTCAACCGCACTGTTAAAGGATCTATACGTTGTTTCCTTTTGATCACCCTTTGCCGTAATGCTTAGCATTCCGAATTTGTCTAGAATGTTTATTTTGCAATTCGTTTCCTGTGAACTATATTGCTCACCAAGTGATTAGGTTTTTATCTCCTCCCCCGTCCCCGCCCGCCCACCCGACATCAGGAATCATACTGATTAGACGAGAGATTTCTTTATGAAATTCTGTACACAGCATACTGAATTGCATGCATTGCCACTTGAGGGTTTTAGAACAGAGAATCGAAATTTGCTTACAGTTAACGAAAACTGTTGATGGGACGCCGAAGTTGAGTCCATTGAAAGGATGCATCGTATAAACCGTCAGCTGCTTGCTAAAAATCTAATGAAATCCTCTCAAGATGCTGCAGATCTAGATGGCCTCCCGAGATGAAGAAAGGATTCCATGGATTGATTAGTTCTTCAAGATTAAGCNCGAACAGTATCACAAACTCGGCTAATGATTTTATTCGGAACAATGTTACCAGTCATTTCAACCCGGACGATTAAACCAAAATAGATTTGCTATATTGTAAAAATGACGTTAGTGGTTGTCTTATCAAGATCTCGAACCTTCAGATTTTCGACTCCAATTTACAGTTTTTACAGTTTTACAGTAGTCATTCATCTTGTGCTAAGTATAGGGGGCAAACAGAGTTTTCATAATAAAACTCCAAAAGAATTTCAGATGAATAATGGATTCCCGATTACTTTTAGAAACACTTTTAAAAACAAACTCCTGATTTTGATCGCATAAACCAAACCCCAAGGAACTAACTATACGTGACCCTTTCACTTATCTCAAGCACAGACAAACGTGGATATTTAAGTTCTAAGCTGAGATAATTGAAGGAACTAGAGATGGTTTGCTGCCTAAAATCGGTGGCATGCAGCGGAGTGGAAGTATATGGCAATAACCTGCAATAGAGGCTAAAGGAATCGCATTTGGGTGCTCTCGAGTCATTCACACGAGCCAGTTGTGGGATGTGACTGCTCCGTTCGAGCTGTTTGTTTACTTAAACTTATAATCTCGATTCAAAGCTTGATATGTGGGTGAAACGCGGCACACCCTAGATGCAGTATTCACTAATAGGGTTGCCACACGCTGGTTTGAGACTGAGGTACACAGTCAGAACGCGGTTGTAGTATTTCAGACTGTATGTATACGGCGTTTTGTCAACAGGGATAAAATGAATAAAATAACTGATATCAACAGTTGAAATGGCATTTGTGTGTGGTCATTCTGTTTACATTCCGGTGACTCTGTTTTTAACCATTTCTGATGTTTATGTAGCGAAAAATAGGACAGTCAGATGAACAATCATGAGAATCGGAGACGTGTCACATGGGTTTGAGATGTTTTTTGCATATCCCATGGTGATAAAGCACTTGTAACTGATTCGATCAAATCGGAAAGTTGAAAAAAAATGTGATAATGTGCCTCTTAACCGGTTACGCTGTATTAGAAAATGAGTGTCCCACCTGGAAATAATTAGTTAGTATCTGATTGCGAACAAACTACAACTCGTTATTGTCATTATAGATGAAGAGATTGATGGGAAACGCAATTGAAAGCTCCAATCGGTTAACGTGCAATTCGGGCCAGAAAGGAACCAATGAGGCACAGTCAGAAGGTAGTTCCCTGTCAGCATATCCATAGCAATTGAACGGTAACAGTTATCAGCTGTATGCCGCAGCCTCGAATGAGCGCCATCATGCATCTCTCTGCACACAGCTGGCAGATAAATGACCGATTCGCATAACCCATTTCGAAAATGCGACCTTTGTATGATACTAAACGTTAATCCAGTGGTTTGCCTCACGAGGAACACTGAATGGAAACCGCAGACCATCATCTATGATTTGGTTTGATTTGATATATACGCAATTTTCCCCGTAGAAAAATCTATCCCTCTGCATCACCTCTGTGGCTTGGAAAGGACACACAGTTGAAACGGATGCATCGGATTAGGAATCACGTTTACAAATATTCCCGGTCATCTAGTCATCAATGCGCTCAGTTAGTGCAGGCAGTCAACTTAAAATGGTATCTGACTGCCTGAATGATTTCAGTCAGCAGTACGAGATCAAGATGCTTCGGCGTCGCATGAGAATTGTTTCACGTAAGGCCAGATAATTCAGTAATTGTAAATGGGATTTGCAAATCTCTTTGCTCCGGTTCAATCGTTTTAATCTCGGGTAACATGCATTATAAGTGACTTGTGTCGGGGATGGAATTCAACGTTCAAAAGCTTGACTGTTATGTGTGACCGGTATTCGTTTCCTCATTCGCCAGCTAATCTTTCTTGGGTGTTGGGTATGACACAGTCAAGCGACCAAATCAGGCGGTATGAAATACTCAGTCGGGCTTCAAGGTAAAAGTTGACAAGTTGTGCGTTCCTCCGAATGATCGTATTTATCAGTGACCTATCTAGGAATCCAGTAATCAACGACACTAATATATTTGAGGCCAAATATGTTATGGTACCTTTACATTTAGGCAACTCAGCAAATCATGGCATATGACGAATTATTCTTTTGTACTGCTATCCGAAACCGCATCGGATTGGATTTGAACTTCATTATCATTGCTGTTTGAGATATGAAACAGTTCGAATTACAAGTTCTGTTATGGTAACATATTACAATATGAGTGAGATAACGAACCGAATTTCACACTCAACTTTGCATGTGGTAGAATAGGATCGTCACTGACAGCAGTGTCTCAATTCCGTAACCGATTGGTGGGTGCATTTATTGAAGCATATTAGTACACTTCCTTGATCGGTCACAGTTGATCGTTTAGTGAAAAGTTATCCATCCAGTTGAGCACAAAATTGAGGAGAAAAACACACCGCCCAAAGACACTTGCGGCAAAATGTTGCAAGCTTGTTCAGATTTCCTGTAAGAGCTCTCCCCCCTCCCCCCCACAAACACCAAGATCATTGAGATTTAAACTACAGCCGCCATCTAAATGAGTGCAACAGATGTTCTTTGTTTGCAAATGAGTCTGGTTTATGGTTAAACATCCTTTAAACTCTTAAGGAGATGAGTAAATAAATTATAATCGGACGTTCATCTATTGAAACACTGTCACGTGTATATGTATGTGGACCACACTCCACTGTCGTGAAGATTGTAAGAAACGGATTTTCGTAGACCAGACCAAATCCAACNTGGATTGGATGGTGAACTACCTCACTCCGATCGCGGCGGAACAGGAAATTGCGTAATCGGTAAAAACGAGCGGATTCAATGGCCTACTAAAGTGGCACAGTATATCCGGCAATGTCCAGCGTGGCACGGGTAGGGCAAATGGTGTCGTGCCTTGACAGACGGCCTGCTAACCTGTCTGTCTGTTTATCTGTCTGTATGCTTGCAGGGGCAGTTACACACATGCTTACACACACACACGCGCATATGCACACACTCCACGGAGAAGCAACAGGTACGCGAATTGTTGCTTTGCCTTGGCAATGGGGGAACCTTAGGTTTAACCTGAATTCGGGACAAATTTGGCCCAAGTTTGATCGATTTTTAACGCCCGCAACATTGGTGATAGTGAATACGTACCGTCTTGGACAGTGTTGGGTTGATCCCCACTCCTACGTTTGCTGCAGTCCGTTCGCCCAGCTTATGTACAACGTGGCACCACACACGCGTAGCCAACCTGTAGCAGATACCAAATCGACCTGTCCGGATAGTACACTTGGTTGTGGCACTGTCGGCTTGTCCACTGTAATGAAGCAAGACAAAATTGTGATCACATTTTATAGGCATGCGTTCAGGAAGCGACTCAGGTCTAACACAAATGGGCAAACATATTGCGGTGTAAAACGATTCCGAATATTCGAGGACAAACCATTGGCAAATTTTTCGCCCAACTGGACATCATTGGATCTCACCCTAATGATCGCAGTTGTATCATTCATGTATGCGACTGTTGCAAATCGGAAACATTAAAATAGAACATGAGGAATGTTGAAACTTAAAGAGTTTTATGTTCAGGAATGGACCAATAGGAAGGCATTATGAGTTGTTTTAAATCTATCTCACTTGCAGTGCGTAAATGTCTTTTATTCTCTGTGTTTCTATATCTTTCTGGAAGTGTGCGGACTGCAGAACCCAAAAGTTTGAACAAACACCGTGGAAGAGCGGGCTTTGCCTGCAGTTCGTGAAAGCATGCACATCACAGCCAGACAGTTAGTCGGACTGAATCGTAGTGTATATTCATAGGCAAACTCGGAAGCATACGCTGCAGAACAACCGGGGAATAGACCATCGTTGAAATGGCAATACGGCGAAATATGACCGCACCAAATCATCATGATGTGTAGTGTTTTGTGTTTTGTAGATAATTTGGAGCTCTTTATGATAAATGGCTAATAATTTTGACTGTAATAATAACGCTTGTAGTCCCAGTTGGTCAGATACCTATTATATAATTAACTTACAATCGAGCACGGACCATTTGGTATTCCTTTCAAACCATTGTGTAAATGTGAAAATTAACACGAACAACTTTGTTTCTTCCGTGCTTAACCACTTTCGGGAAATCACGAAATTTTTGAGTCTTGGTGGACGAAAGACATTCGCCTATTAGGTAGCCAAAGTCATCATTAATGCATTGACTGTTTCTTTTTCGTGTGCCGTGAATAGGGCAACTCAGTTCCCCAAGTGAGGCTATGGGCCCACAGGGACCTCGAGGTGACCCAGGTCCTCCCGGCCCAGAAGGTGCTATTGGACCGCCCGGTCCTCGGGGTCCTCCTGGTCTTGCTGGAAGTGATGGTGAACGCGGTCCCGCCGGTCCACAAGGTACACCAGGTACTCCAGGACGTGACGGGCGTCCGGGTGTTCCAGGTGTTCAGGGTTCGCCTGGACCTCAGGGAATTGCTGGACCACCAGGTGAACCAGGTGCTGAAGGCAGTCCGGGACCTCAGGGCTACGCTGGACCCCCGGGTGATAAAGGTGATGACGGTTATGAAGGTTTGAAAGTGAGTGGAGAAAAACTTGTTTATCTCTTTTTGATTTGATTTATAACACATCTTTGAAATGTACATCAAACTGGGATGCTAAATAACATAAATATAATGGAAACTAGTGCTGTGTTCATTCTTCGTATATGGATTACGGTGAACATAGTTTTATTATTTCATAAAGTTTTATTGTAAAAGTATGCATGTCTATGGATGTTTGGATATCCATTGTACATATTGTCAGTTAAATGCTCTATTAATCCGGTCGTGCTCACCCTCCTTGCTTGTATAGGGTTCCCAAGGTGCAATGGGTCCTCAAGGTCCTCAAGGTCCAATCGGTCCAATTGGTCAGCCTGGACCAATGGGTCCACCTGGTGCTGAAGGTCCGCGAGGTGAGACCGGTCCAGCTGGTCGTGTCGGTTTGATGGGTATTCAAGGACCTCCGGGAGCACCCGGTACACCCGGTATGCCCGGTCCAGCCGGTCAGAAAGGTGATCGAGGTGAAACCGGTAAGAAAGGAGCAAAAGGTGCCAAAGGTCCTATGGGTACAGCCGGAAAACCCGGTGCACCTGGTCAACCAGGTCTTCAGGTGAGTGCTTTTTTTCTCATGTAATTGGTTCTTTTTGTTCTTTAAATTGTCGTCGCTTTATTCGCATATGAACCTTAATGTGTTATGTTCCCTGTAGTGTTGTAATGTCTTAGTGGGAATTATTGATATTTCCTGTAAGGAATGGAATATACCTTTAACCGCTTTTCACGGTTTCATCATCTGGTTTGAAGTATTCTCACAATCAACTCAAACTAATTACGCAGGAAATGTTAAAAAAGCATTTCTGTGATCATGTTAACAATCGTTCTGCAAAGACTTAGTGTAACTTTTAAGCTTCCCTCCCATAGTCACGCAATCAAGAATCTTCGGCATGTACAATAGTACTCTATCAACATAGATAGTGCATTTCATAGTTAATTATTCCGCAAAAAATATAGCTGATGCACTTTGAAACCATTTTCTCTTTTTTTCCTGCTATGCCGATCGTCTTTTAAGCACAATCCTTCTATTGGAAGATTTATTTCTGATCATAACAAGCGACGATTCACAGTACTTCATCTGATACTCACGGAATTCGTACGCTCCCGACACTTTCGCAATGAATCAGTCCGCGCTAATTGCGGCGATTTTGGACAGAAAACAGAACAGGATAGTTTTATAACCATCAGTTTACCTCACTTGAGACCCATTATTCAGATTCAAGTAGCGAATCTGCTGGTAAATTTTATTTTATCCTTCCATGGATATAACTTATTGCCTGGCTCCCGTTTCATTCATCGCTTGCCTCTAATCAGGGTGAAGCAGGTCACGATGGTCGACCCGGAGCCCGTGGTGAACCTGGCGCGCGTGGTCCTATCGGTCCGGTCGGTATCGACGGTCGCCCCGGTGAACGTGGTCTGATGGGTCGTATGGGAACACAAGGTGCGAAGGGTGCCCAGGGTGAACCCGGTGTGATGGGTAATGTCGGTGCTGCCGGACCAGCTGGTGTGAAAGGAGAGAAAGGTCAAATTGGACGACCGGGTAATCAGGGAGAGCCGGGTCTTCGTGGAGCTCGTGGTCCGATGGGTCCAGTAGGAGTCAAGGTGGGCTTTTCTTTTCTGTATTTACGATTTTTTGCAAGCACACGCATAGAGAATGGCGTTATTGGTTGAGCGTGGTTGCTGTGTAAGCAGTTAGATCATTAAAACTGTTTCATTGCAACCGACAATCAAAAACGCGGTGTATGTTTGTTGACTCTTGGGGAGTTTAGTTTTTGGGCAATTGGGATTATGCCCAAGAATTTTTCTAATGATACTAGCCCTGATAAATGATTGGCATTGACGAAGGAAGTTCCCCAGGCCTTTTGTGCGAAAAGAGTCACAAAATAGGTGACCTCAAACAATACATCAATACATAATCAAAATAATCTAAAGGTTGCATAGACTGAAAATAAACAATTGGAAATTGTAGCAAATGTCAATGGTACTGATTGCCTGAGTACTCTTTATCTTCCATCGGTCAAAGTTCACTCTATCAAAATAAATCCCTAAATGTTAGTCGTGTTTTACTCAGTGTGTTGATTCTTCAAATCGATCGCTCTGAACGATGTAAGCAGATTATTTTGCTCAATATGATGGATGCTTCTCCTTTGTGTATTAGAATTCCGTTCGTCTTTGTACGTTTTCGGCTCACAAGAGGTGACTAGATTTCAGATAAAACTCTCTGAGAACCAACTCAGAGTAAACGAGTAAACAACTAAGCAGTGTTTGATGAATAAAGCAGCACGTTGGATAAGTAACACGATAGATTTTCATCGAAGTGTCGGCAGCTTGTGAGCTCGGCTCACCCTCAAGACCGAGGAGCGTTGACCTTGCCTAATCTGGTTGATGAACTATCTCGCTTGTCCTATCTTTCAAATCCTCAAGCGTTCAAATCAACTCGGCAATCTGCGCTTGAGTCATATCATCATCACAATCACCACCAAGATGAATAACACCGATCTTTCGCACATCCGCACCGAGAGCCTTGAATTGTTCAAAACTCCCTACCTGCACAGTTTTCGTTATTGATAATTTACTTTATTAACAGGGAAACTGCTCGTAGAAATCCCGTTAATGTTCATATCAACGCAAGTAGTCAGCTCTTCTTATTAAATGTTGACATCTACCCCCTTCCCAAATCTAATCACACACACTAACAGGGAGCTCGAGGTGAAGTGGGTCCAGGAGGCAGCCCCGGTAGTCCTGGTCTGGATGGCCAGCCGGGCATGGACGGTCAACCAGGAGAATCAGGATCGCCAGGTGAACAGGGTCTATCGGGACCTCCCGGACCTCCTGGACGACCAGGATTGGATGGAAGTGCCGGCCCACGGGGTGAGAACGGACAGCCCGGATTGAATGGAGTCCCCGGTGTAAAAGGTGCTATTGGCCCAATGGGACCTGCCGGTATTCCCGGGAAAGACGGTAGTCCAGGCATCCCTGGACCTATCGGTCCAATGGGTCCTGTCGGACCTCGTGGTCCCAGTGTAAGCCTTTCTTCTCATTCTTTGTCAGATTGTTTGATTAACTTTGTTCGGAAGAAAGGACACAGTTTACTCAGCACACGCATCCAGTAGCAATAACGGCGACCAATCTCACATTAAAATCAGGACTCGTTTTCTCAGGGAGAAATTTTTGTTTCGTTTCAAAACTGGATCACTAATACTGAAGTGGTAATTAAACTCCCCCACCTACAGCAGCCTGTCGAAATGGAAGTGTCCTAGGCCCATAAATCAGAGGTGCGTGGATCAAAACCTCGTTCTCCAACTCATTCTGGATGGCAGTGGTCAAGCGATGCTGGTCACTTTGAAGGACGTGTGCTTCAGCCCCAGTGGAGACACTCAACTTTCTACATTTTTTCATATCACACGGCGGCCTTTTGTTCGACTGGTTCCGTCTTTCTGATTAGTTTCATGTACAAGTCTGCATTCGACATACAGGAACAACAAGCTTATGAAATAAAGAATCGCGGTTGACACTGAGTTTACAATGCATTTAAGTGACACGCTTGGGACCGCCTCAGACGTGAGACAAAAATACGGGAAAAGAACTCCCTGATAGATATCGAACAACTTTTGAAGAAGTGTGTTTTATTCAATGTTTTCCTATGCTGAGTGGTGCGCCTAATCAAGAACGTAACGAAGATGAATTTAAATACAGTTTAATCGGAAAAAATGGAGAACAGTACAGACATAGGTGGACACTACCGAAACAACGTCAGAACAGGTCGACTAAAGTTGTTTCAAGGTGCAACTCTTATTGAATGATGAGAATAATGCACCGTATCATCAATGACCAATTCAGTGTGATCGGATTATTTGTGTTTTCTTTAACAACAATATATAGGGAGTTGTTGGCGACGTGGGTGAGAAAGGAGCAAAAGGCATTGACGGTCCACCAGGTCTTCCCGGTGAAACAGGTGAGGCCGGTGATCCCGGTCCAGATGGTGAAGAAGGTCCTGAGGGACCATCAGGAGCAAGCGGTCCACCAGGACCTCCTGGACCAGTGGGTGACCCAGGTCTGGAAGGAGTTGCTGGTGTGGCTGGACCCCCAGGTCAAGCAGGCTATGACGGTCCTACGGGTCCAGATGGTAAGGATGGAGCCCCCGGCAAAGATGGAAAACCTGGTGCACAAGGAACTCCTGGAGCACCTGGCCCAGTTGGTCCACCTGGTCGTGTTGGTCCTCGAGGTGCTCAAGGACCACAGGGACCACGTGGTTTCAAAGGTGATATCGGTATCATGGGACCTCCTGGATCGTTTGTGAGTGATTCAAATGGCCTTCATTCTTATAACTTACCTTTTATAGTCAATGATTTCTCTCATACGTGAATAATTTATAACTGAAATGCTGACACTGGTGGGACCAGTATTTGAATGACTTGACTGAGATTTACCAGATATGCACGTTTTTTTGAGTGTCTATAACGGTAACACAAGTCTTGTGCATTCAGTGTAATATTACCCACTCGTCATAATACAACCAACCTCAAGTTTATTCAGTCTGATGGCACTTAATCCCCTACTGTCATCTAAACCGTAAAAGAATTCCGCTTCAGACTAGAACTGACCAATAAACTGCAAGCTGCATGTTGGAATTCAAAAGTAACCTAAATATCTAGTTAATACAAACAAAAGAAAGAACAACTTGGATAAAGCTAATACTATTTTTATTAAACTAAGACGGAAATCCTGTAACCCCATACACGTTGAAACAGCTCCCAGCTACTATGAACCTTATCGTTTAGACGGATTACGCATTGAAAACAAACGTGGAATTTCGAATGGTTTTTCAAAAATAACGGGAAATTGTTTCGGACGTGTATTTTATCTTGGGGGGAGGATAAAATCGTGAAAATTGAAAATGAACCCTTTTGTAATTGGCATTTGGAGATAATTATGATTCGTGGTGTATGTCCGAGGTTCGACTCCCAGCTGGGATTCTAATGAGAACAAGATGCTAATTCGGTGCTTTCCGAGTGGATGCATGTTTCAATACATAAAGTGAGGAAGAGTGAATATAAAGT